AGGGTTCGTGCTACTCCTTGAAATCCTTGAAAAGCCCTGGAATTGAAAACACGTTTTCAAGGGCGCTTAAAAAGCCCTTDAAAAAAGGGAAAAACGCCAAAACTCCTGGAATATTCCTTGAATTTAATGCAAATATAATGTTATTTCTAACTTTCCTTTTAAAATGAATAATGATTTAAATTGATTTAAGAGTTTTTGGGTGCTTGTTTACTGGTTAGTTGCGTGTCATGATCGTTTTTTATCTAAGCTAGTGGCCCCGGCTGAATTAGCTGCACTGTAACATTGAATCAATGTTTAAACCACGTTCTAATACAAAAAAACTTTGTCCTTGAAAATCGAATTTTTGTGCTTGAAAAGTGCTTGAATTTTGTAACGAAAATGTAGCACGAACCCTGTCACGTGCATTCCACATGAGAGTAGAACAAAAAAAGGTTATGTAACTGTTTTACTTACTGATCTTGAACAAAGGCAACCCCGTTTCACGATAAAATAATTATTCCCTTCTTCTGTGCCGCACGGACTTAGGCCCGTTCCACACGTATCCGCAAATTTTTGTATCCGCAATTTTTTTTTTTACGGATACGGGTTGAGTCCACACGTGTCCGCAAATTTTTGTGTCCGTATCCGCAAATTTTACGAAAACGGATACGTGTGGACGGTGAAAACGATTCGATTACGATGCGTGTGGACGCAAACATTTTCGTATCCGCAAAAAATAATTTGCGGATACAAAAATTTCCGGATACGTGTGGACGGGGCCTTATATGAACACATTTAGTCGGTCATTGTTGTAGCGTAACGCTCAACCGTATATACTAATCCAGGCAAGACAAAAGAAAAATGGGGACATATATATAAGTATATATATCCGATAAATGTCACAATTTTTGAGATCGGGTGTATATATATACACACCTATTTCAGAAATCGTTGTCGCACCGAAAGCCTCAAGCAGCAAGCCAAGACCGCCGAGAACGCCGGTACTTTTAGCTGTAATCAGTTTATTCATGGTGCCTTTTCATTTATTGACTTCACAAATTGCTCCAACCAAGGCTGCTTGAGATGATAATTAGCGTAGAGCTATAGCCACTTGCATGAACCATGAATAAATCAATTATAATTAAAAGTACCGACGTTCTCTGGAGCCTTGGCTTGTTACTTGAGGCTCTTGGTGCGACAACGATTTTCGAAATAGGTGTGTGTGTGTGTGTGTGAACAAATCACACGACCATAATAGGTTCTCTACAAAACTGTTTCGTGTGCCGGACTCACTCGTCAGGAATGCGTTAGCTAATTGACTATTTGACAGGCATCACATATCTTATGGACTAGTCAAACCAAATGTAGCAACGTTCAAGGGCTAAAAACAATATAAATATAATGAAAAAAGGGACATCGGCGGTTTTAATATGTTTCCAGGTTACAGAATGTCTTATTCTAGAAGTATGGCTTTTTCATATCTAAAAAATATAGTTCAGAGACAATGAGACGACAGCGTTCTTTAAAAAACCTTGCAAAAATGAGCCTATCTGATATTGGAATCACTTTTCGACGGAATATCAACTTTTTGCGCATGACGCTAACACATTGTTGGTTCATATCCAATTATAAGCCGCATTACAATCACTTATTTCAAATTAGCACTCAGTGTAAAGACAGCTGACTCAGTTTCAGCACATTGAATTATTTATTTTTACAATAACGCCGGGCCGTATCTAGAACTGGTTAGTCACGAAAGTGGTCGCAAGGCGAACTTTCACTGTACTCCCCAAGTTTAAAACAACGCTCTTTTTGATCCAGATACAAAGTACAAATGACCGTAGATCCCAAAAGGGCCGAAGCAATAATGCGGCTTTTACATTAATATAGGCTTGTTGATATAATATATATATTTATCATATAATTATCCATAAAATATCTATATTTCTCGTCAGAGATCTTTTCAACACTCGAAGATAAATTTCGTATCTACGCGCGCCCATGTAATATCCTCTATATATATTGTTTTTCTTAAATATATTTTTAAAGCTGGCCATTGCTGGCCATTGCTGCCGTGATAGACGAAAAGAAACAAAAGAAACAAACAAACAAACAAACAACAACAACAAAAATGGGACAAAACAAACAAACAAAAAACAAACAAACAAACAAACAAACAAAACAAAAACAAAAAAACAAGCAAAACAAAAAACAAAACAAAACAACAACAACAACAACAAGCAAAACAAAAAAAAAAAAGAGGAAATTAACGTCACCGCCACTCCCTTGAACATGGTCTAGAATAAAATGGGATTCTCGAAGGAGAGGAATTCTCTAGGTTATTTTCGCTTTATATTATATTGGTTTAGTTTATTTTCAATAACTATTAGCAGATAAAGTAATCAGGTTTAGCGTCAGTTTGTGATCCATTCGCATGGACTTAATTAACTACTTTACTCTACTCAAATACAATTCAAAGATCTTGGATTTATAAAGGAAAGATATATGAAAGGAAAATAACGACAAGAAACATATATGCAGTAAATCATGTCAAGCGTTGCTTCGTAGGTTGGTTTCATAGTTCTAAACTAATTATTTTTTCTTATTTTTTCAGGGATTACAATGACTAAAACTACAAAGTGCGCTAGTTAAGTCGTGTTACAATATATGAAGTATTTTGAATTAAAATGCCCCTAAACTTTCATCTTTAATTTTGCCGACTTTATCCCCTAATTACTTCTGAATGCACAACAACCTTATTATGATCCTTTAGACACAGAGGCTGTATTTAAGCTAAGGTATCATTGAATCTTTCGGCTTTTTGGAATGAATTTTAATACACTTATCGTGAGTAATTTACTGAATGCAGCTCATACAGTGTAAATAGAAGTGTTGGATAAAGTGGTTTCCATTACATTTTGGAGCCAGTGGGACAAAAAAGTACTAGAAATGCTTTTTAGGAAATTTCCTTAGGTTTTTAGTTTCTCAGAATATTATTAATTAGTTTATTAATAAATGGCAAAGTTTGTTTACCCAATACAAAAGTGTTATCTCATATCATATCCAAAACACAAACGATGAGTCAAGTAATTGTGTAGTTATAACTAGATAATTGGTACAAATTCTAGAACAACTTTATCATACACTTTTCAATTTATTGGAAAGTTTTATCAGAGGTCCAAAATGTAAACAACGCAATACAATGTGACTGGCTGGAGCTATACGCCTCGAAATATTTCAAAATAACGAGAGAAAAAACCCTTTTATTTTTTTTAAATCTCGGATATTGTCTTAGCTTTTAGATAACAATACAGATTTTTCTAGCGTAGTCAGCTTAAAATGGACGCCTTTTTAAAGTGAAAGTGATAATACATTATTCTATACTTTTATCATTATATTTTATCATATGTTCTATAACAGCTTTATAAGAGTATTCGAAACACTTATCGAAACATAAGATACCAATATTAGTAAAAATAGTTTCAAAATGAGAGCATATCTCTTGTCGGTGGCGGCGCAGTTGGACTTTTGACCGGCTATAGATCATATCTTGTTTGAATAAGCCGTTGCTGGTGATATTGTGTGCCAATTAAAGCCATAGCCCACACTTTACTGACTAGGTCGCAGACTTATTATGACCAAAACGTTTTAAATAAATCAGAAAAAATCAGTCGTAACCCTTTGTTTCATATAGCTATGATGTCTGATTACCAAATCTTCGATTAATGAATTTGGAGGATTCTCGAAAGGCGACATTTCCAACTTCTATTTTGGGCAGTCGTGCTTGTCGGTATGTTCTTTGATAAATATACTCAAACTGTAACAAACAAGAACCGTGAAAGCATGGCCCAAAAATAACCATGTCATCCTATTTGGATAATTCTTAATTTAGGGATTGAGGATGGTGGTGTGGTGATAAAACGCTTGCCGCTCGCCTCTGCTGTCCGTGGTTCTATTCCAAGAAGACCCATGTGAGCTAAGTTTTTGGTTCTATTCTTGACTCCGAGAGTATTTTTTTGTTTAGGGTTTTCCTCCCTGCTCTCCAGGGTAGTTCATAGAATGTATAGCTTCTGCAAGAGGCGCTTTCGATTGATTTTAGTTCGAATCGTTGAGCTGCGCCACCAAGCGATAACCTGCTGTTGATCATTATTTTCATATATTTTGTGCGCTTTCTTTTAGTGAGCTTTCAGTCTGTAGTGCCCTTTATATGTGTAGTGTGGTTTATATGTGTAGTGCGCTTTATATGTGTAGTGCGCTTTATATGTGTAGTGC